GTAGTAGGTAGTAGTAGGTAGTAGTAGGTAGTAGTAGGTAGTAGTAGTAGAGCAGCAGCAGCAGCAGCAGCAGTAGTAGTAGTAATGGCCTCCACCCTAGTAGCGATGGCCTCCTTTTTCCTTTCGCAAATACTGAGTCAACCAGGGTTAGGAAGACTGGAGGAACATTGTGCTGGAGCCCTAGGGTTAGGAAAAAGACATTGTGCTGACATGAACGGATCACTAGCGATGGCCTCCACCTAGTAGCGTCCTTGCTACTAGTAGTGTAGGTGGATTCGAAGGAAGTTTCTGGAGGCCCTTTTTGGATCTCCAGATCCAAGGTCTGGATCCGGAAAAAACAGAGAAGGATGTTGTGTTGCATTGGTTCCAAATAAGCTCCCCCAACATCTCCAATTCAACACCCGTTCAAAGAGAACAAGAAACTCTGCACAGGCGTAGGAGATGTAATGTAATCAATCTCGTGCACTTGGGAGGTTCATCGATCACGAGTAGACTTTGGGGCTTGTGAAGTGGTTCTTTGCGCTTAGACTTAAGATTTAAGACACTGCTCACACATGCTCACACTTTCCTGGCCAGCCAACCCCTTAAACTCAGCTTTTCCAAAGTTGCAAACAAAGAAGGGACGCCAACTTCCCGGAGTTGCCAGCAAGCTTCCCCAACATCCGGGACAAGAACACTGTCTGCCCCCCCCCAAGAACAGGCTCACCAAAAGCTACCCCGTATGGGACCCCTGCCACTTCGAGAGCACTGCTGCCACGTCTGCGGCTGTGACCACGGGCTTTGGCCTTGCGTGACGTGTGCGGCGCACGACAAGGCGCCCTCAGCACTGTGACTCCAGTAGCTTGAGGAGCTGGTGAGGAATGGTCACCAATCGGCCATCCTGTCTGAGATCTTTGCCAAAACAGAAGTCCTGCAGCCGGTTGTAGAGGAAAAGGGGTAGACATTCCCTGGTTTGGCCTCATAAGTTGCTTGTGAGGATAAAAAGAGTCAACATTGGGACTCACAAGGTCTTTATTTGAGTGAACTCAGTGTTCTAAGTAGTTTCACCGGCACTAGGAATAGTGAAGTGAATTCCAAGAAATGCATTTCGTACAGAGATCATTTCTGAGTCCAGAACTGCTCTCCAGGTGACTCCTCCTCATTTGCCTTGGGAGCAAGTAGACGGGAGTGAAAAGAAACCGATGTTGATTTGTTCAGTCGACGAAAAGGGATAAGGGATCTGCTTCAGCATAACAACACGTGGGCGTCAAGCAAAACAAGAAACTTCTTGCGTCCGTCCCAACCAGGGATGTTAGTCAGATCTTGATGTTTGGTGGAAGAGAAGGAAGAGAAGGAGCGGAGCATTATTTACAACTAATCAGAACAGTGGCCAAAAAATCAGAACACGTAAAACTAAGACTTGCTGTTCGTGTCATGCCAAATCTGATTCGATTGCCAGCTCCAGGTGGCTGGTGCGCGGTGCGCGTTAGAGAGTGAGATAATATGGCTGTGGGTCATGGCATCAGGGCCCACCTGACAGGTTTGCCCACCGAACATGAACAAACGACCCAGACAGGGCGAGCTCGTTCCGGGCTCCAGGTTTTACAGCCAAATAGGATCCAACTTAGGATGGATCACTATAGGATGGATTCCTGGATAGTTAGCTCCAGGTGCTAAGGTCTTAGATGGTGAGATATGGTGAGTTCCAGACTCGCTATATATATTTACACCAACACTTGGGCCTGAAGGAGTCGGAAGTCGAGTGATTGCGTCGGTCAATCCGCTTGCTCGGCTTGGACTATGTGGACGAAAAATGTCCTGTCTGGTGCAGTGAAGAAGCATCAAATGTATCGGTAGGTGGGTCAGGGGCCCTGGGTTGTGGAGTTTCAAAAGATCATCGCCAAGCAAGTAGATGCTTGGACAGGTTGCATATGAACGAGCTCAAATATGCACATGACCTGCTTCAAAGTGGAGCACGCCCATGGAACTAAAGACTCTAGTCACTGGTCTATTAGTCCGAATTTACGACTGGGCGCTTGGGTATTCCGCCAGCAATCTTCCGCTTTCCACACTCCAGCAGCCCCAGCCTGCTCTAACTGAAGCTCCATGCGCCATTGCGCCTCATTCAGCTGGACTGTGAGTGCCAACGTCGACCCCTTCCGCTTCGGATCGTGGGTCAGTCTGGAGTCTCCAGCTTGGTGCATGTCTCACCCCAAAAAGAAACGGACACATACCAGCACCCGACTCTACAGGTCTCCGAAAGGGAGAAGAACCTTGTAGACTTGTTGGGGCGTCGTCAGTGGTGACCTGTTGGAGGGTCCGGACGTCCGGACGTCAGCAACGGGATCGGCCCGATCGGCCTGGAGGACAGCGTGGTTATAGGTTATAGAACGTGATAGTTTATATATACTCTCTTGGCTGTTTTAGCCCCCAGTGGAATAGCCAGTCATTTTAACTTTCTGTATTTGCCTATTGGGGAGGCCGATTCTTTTTTTGAAAAAATGATTCCCCAGTTTCAGGGGATTCACTCAGTTCAGGAACATCCAAAAAAAAGGAGCGAACAGCACAAAACCACCCGGAGTCGATGTGAGCAATTCCACAATTGCAAAGCGATCTAACACAGGTGCTTAGCTACTACCGTAAGAACCCCTAAGCCCCTAAGTGTGTCCACACTGTTTGGGGAAAAAAAAACACCTCTCCGATGGTCGGATCTGCATCTGCCCAAGGGCTCAAGACTCGCTCTGCCTCGGTTGCCTCTGAGTCGCTCCAGTCGCGACACGGCCGTCGGCTCGACTGGGCTCCGACTCCCGTCGCTTCAGTAGGGAGCTTTAATGGAACATGACCCTGATAAAAGGTAGACTTGTACCATTTTGAAGGTCTACAGAACATAAACAAAAAAACATTTAAAAAAAGGATCCACATGTATATGTTGTTCTTTGCTTGTTGATAGTTACCTGATGGTTTCTGTATACTGAAGACTCGCTCCTATGCCATCTGACCAACGTCCGTCCGCTGAGTCCGCTGTCTGACTTACGCCAGGTGGCGAGGCTGCTGGCTTCATCAATGAGATCCACCGCCTGCGGCGAAGCCAGCACGGTTAGACACAAAAAGAGGCACAAAAAAAGGCGTTATATGCTTAAACAAAAAAACACACACATGGTTTTCCATGTGTTGTTTTCCGCATCCAAGGGTTGGACCACACATCCAAGGGTCCTACTGACCTCCTTGTCATGATAATCAGTATATGTAAAGCAGTTATGAATGTATACTGTCCTGCGATTGGAAAATAGATTCTAGCTCGCTCGCGCCCACAAAATTGCTGGCTTTGATGGCACCTGTTGGGACAGAGATCCAGTATGATCCGCTCACAACATCCACATGTGCTGTGTATTAAGTCCAAGGACACGCTCACTTGAAAACTAGCTATAGGGTTCAGATTCGGGTGGAGGAGTTCCTTCCATCGACCTTTCTGTTGCAGGAAGAACTCCTCCCCCCACCTAGACAACCACCCCGCAATAGCGAGGTATCCTCTACGCCAGGATTTACTTTCATCAGCCCACCAACCACCATCTAATTGCGGAGTGTGCTAGATGCTGAACCCACCCGTGGTACCGAGCATGAATGGACATGGAAACAAACTCAACCACTCCATGTATAGGCCATACTTGCCTACATCGGAATGATTGGCTTAAAGGGTCAATGTATAGGCCGGCATATATATACCAGTCCCATTTGTTTGGGAACTGAAGGGCATCGCTCCCTTCTTCCACATCAGGCGGCTTAGCCTGCACGGTGATCCATCGCCATTCGCCATCCGACACGTGTGTGTCACTCGGTGCGACCCGTGTCACTCGGTGTTCACTCGGTGTCACTCGCACATCCACCCCGAGCGTCCACCCGTCACGCCACACCCGTCACGTGAACGGCGCCTTATCGGGCAAGAAACGATTGGTGAGATAGCCTCGTCGTCCGGTGAGCTGGACCGGTCACGGTCGACGGACCGGATGAGTTGGGGACTGGGAGCCCAAGCTGGGGAGTTGGCCTCTGATCCATTCAAGTCTTCCGGTCCTAAAATCAGTCTCATTATCAACAATGCTATTAAAAACTAAACATATACACTTTTCCCCGGGTGCATGGCACAGGGACCGAGGGGTAGATGGCACATCTGGAAGGCTGCGCAGGCTACCCAGTAGATGGCGCAAGCACCACTTTGATACACCATAAACCAAATGTGCCAAGTACGGGCGCCATCTACTATAGACATGGCCTCACGTTCCACATCCCAATCTTCAAACTCTTTTTCCCCCTTTATTCCATAAATCGGTCGGGGTCTGGATTTTGTCATCCAGTCTTGAGATGCAGGCCGTTGGTGCCACCCTTACACAAACAAACAGTTGAAAAAGACAGAACAGCAAAACTTCTGCATTAGAGCACTCCTGAAGAACCCATCTCAAGTCACAAGTGCAACCATGACAAAACAAAGCATTGCAAGTACAAAAGAATCAACCATTGCGCCATCTAATGTCGACCTCTGATTAATACTCGAATTTCAAGTAAGATGGCGCAGAGATGATGTCATTTGGGGGGGGGTTGCGCCATCTATTCGGCCAGCCTGGAAGTTGAACATAGGGCTATAACCCGGCCGTCGCATCCCAAAAAAACTGGCCCAAAATACCATAGTAGATAGCAGTGTAGATGGCGCAGGAGGGAAATTGAGGTTTATAAAACGGGCCTTTAGCCAGGCCTCAGCAGATGGCGCAGGATGTTTTCTTAAAAGTCGAGGTTTTGGTGTTTTGGAGGTATTGGGAGAATGGGATCTGGGGAGTGGCTATCTGCTATGTACTTCTATCATCTTCAACCTTTAGTTTGGCCACACAATACTGCCACACAATACAGGGCAACAGTTCAGGACCAAGCTTTTTTTGGTTAGAATGGCGCGAGGGAGGTCACAAGAACTGATTCTGGAAACGGGGCTCTCTTCTCTCTTGCAGCTCACCGCCTCCAAAAATATGCACAACCCTGAGAAAAAGAACTGTATGCCAGGCAGTATGGTGGATTTGAAAAACAGTTTTGTAGATGGCACAGGATGGCTCAAGACGAAGAGGACTACATGTTCCCGTCGGATCCCCTCTCAGTCTCATCTGTTTTCTCCCTTTATCAATCTTTCTTCCTTCCCTGCTCGAGGAAAGAGCTACATGTGCTATCCTTCCACAAGACCTTGCCTTTTCTGCTGCCCATGCCCTGGCTGATCATCAGGCTGCGCCATCTACTCTGCACTTGTCAGTCCTGCCCAATCCCCTCCCCCTTTTCCCTATACCTGCTCTCCCGGCTCTCCCCTCTCATCCTTTCCTTTTCCCCCACCTCTGACCTCCCTCCCTCCCTTCCCTGCTCGAAGGAAAGAACTACATGCGCTATATATCCTTCCCCAAGTCCTTGCCTTTTCTGCTGCCAATGCCCTGGCTGGTCATCAGGCTGCGCCATCTACTCTGCACTTGTCAGTCCTGCCCCCCTCCCCTTTTCTCTATACCTGCTTTGCTTTCCACAAGCGCTCTCGCCTCTCCTGCTTTCCTTCCCCCACCTCTGACCTCCCTCTCTCCCTTCCCTGCTCGAGGAAAGAGCTACATGCGCTATCCTTCCACAAATCCTAGCCTTTTCTGCTCCCCATGCCCTACCTGGTCATCAAGCTGCGCCATCTACTCTGCAGCTGTCAGTCCTGCCCAATCCCCTCCCACCATTTCCCTATACCTGCTCTCCCGGCTCTCCCCTCTCCTTCTTTCCCTCCCCCACATCTGACCTCCCTTTCTCCCTTCCCTGCTCAAGGAATGAACTACGTGTGCTATCCTTCCACAAGTCCTTGTCCTTTCTGCTGCCCATGATCATCAGCCAGCGCCATCTACTCTGCACTTGTCAGTCCTGCCCCCGGCCCCCGTCCCCCTTTTCTCTATACTTGCTCTCCCCTCTCCTGTTTTCCTTCCCCCTACCTCTGACCTCCACTTTGTGCAACCTACTGTACACACACCCTTTCTCCCTTCCCTGCTTTCCACAAGCCCTTCTTTTCTGCTGTCCATGCCCTGGCTGATCATCAGGCTGCGCCATCTATTTTGAGCTGTTAGTCCCGCCCAATCCCCTCCCGTCGTTTCCCTATACCGGGTCTCCTGCTCTCCTCTCTTCTCCTTTCCCTCCCCCACCTCTGACCTCCCTCCCTTCCTTGCTCGAGGAAAGAGCTACACGCGCTATCCTTGCCTTTTCTGCTGCCCATGCACTGGCTGGTCATCAGGCTGCGCCATCTACTCTGCAGCAGTCCTGCCCAATCCCCTCCCACCGTTTCCCTATACCTGGTCTCCTGCTCTCCTCTCCCCCTTTCCCTCCCCCACCTCTGACCTCTCTCTCTCTCCCTTCCCTGCTCGAGGACAGAACTACGTGCTATCCTTCCCCAAGTCCTTGCCTTTTTTGCTGCCCATGCCCTGGCTGGTCATCAGGCTGCGCCATCTACTCTGCAGCTGTCAGTCCTGCCCAATCCCCTCCGGCCTTTTCCCTATACCTGCTCTCCCGGCTCTCCCCTCTCCTTCTTTCCCTCCCCTACCTCTGACCTCCCTCTCTCCCTTCCCTGCTCGAGGAAAGAACTACATGTGCTATCCTTCCACAAGCCCTTTGGAGGCTTCCATAAGCAGATTTTGAAGGCTTGAAAATTCTTTATGTGGACCTTTACTAAAAAAGCTTCATTTGTAACACTTTTTGCCCAAATCAGGGGGGAGCCCTCTGGAGGCTTCCAAAAGCAGATTTTGAAGAATTGAAAATTCTTTATGTGGACCTTTACTAAACAAGCTTCAATTGTAACACTTTTTGCCCAAGTCAAGGGGGGAGCCTTTGGAGGCTTCCAAAAGCAGATTTTGAAGAATTGAAAATTCTTTATGTGGACCTTTACTAAAAAAGCTTCATTTGTAACACTTTTTGTCCAAATCAACGGGTGCCTTTTGGAGGCTTCCAAAAGCAGATTTTGAAGCCTTGAAAATTCTTTATGTTGGCCTTTACTAAAAAAGCTTCATTTGTAACACTTTTTGCCCAAATCAAGGGGGATGCCTTTTGGAGGCTTCCAAAAGCAGATTTTTAAGTTTTGAAAATCCTTTATGTGGACCTTTACTAAAAAAGCTTCATTTGTAATATGTTTGTACAAATCAAGGGGGGTGCTCTTTGGAGGGTTCCAAAAGCTCAATTGGAATCATTGAAAAATTCTTTATGTGGACTACAAAAAAAGACGTCATTTGTTATTTTTTGTTCAAAAAAGTCCTTTGGAGGCTTCCAAAAATAGCTTTTAGGAGTTTTTACATGTCAACTCAAAAGCGATGGGGTTGGGGGGGGCGGCAGCCCCCCCCAGAAGCAAACCAACCACTTGAAGAATTACACAAAGGGCGTTAAAGAAAGTACAACAAGAGGGAAAGAAGACAAGGAAGGAAAACAAAACAAACCACTGACATTTGAGCATAATTGGTCGCGCTCATAGAACAATGGAAACAAATTGTCAAAATCAAAAGCGGGGGGGTTGAGGGGGCGGCAGCCCCCCCCCCGGAAGCAAACCAACCACCTGAAGAAGAAGCCTTCCTCGCGCAAAGGGCGTCAAAGAAAGAGCAACAAGAAGAAAGAACACAAGGAAAGATAACAAAACAACCTGCTGATAATTGAACATAAATGGTTGTGCCCATAAAACAATGGGAGCGGGGTGGTGGGAAATTAAAGCAAAAAGTAAAGCAAACTTACAAATAGTGAGCCATAGCCGGATAGCCGTGGACCCTAAACCCCAAAGTTTATATCGCGCTATATATCCTCCCCAGTCCTTGCCTTTTCTGCTGCCCATGCCCTGGCTGGTCATCAGGCTGCGCCATCTACTCTGCAGCTGTCAGTCCTGCCCAATCCCCTCCCGCCGTTTCCCTATACCTGCTCTCCCGGCTCTCCCTGACCTTTTTTGTCTCCCTTCCTATGCTCGAGGAAAGAACTACACCTTGCCTTTTCTGCTGCCCATGCCCTGGCTGATCATCAGGCTGCGC